GTTTTTACGGCGAGAAAATATCGAATAATTGCCGGGAAAACCCTAAAAACAGCCCTTTTCTTTTTTACATACAAACTTTTTCACATAGTATTTTCATATTTTTGCCATCGGGTCTGGAATATTTTCTCAAGTCCATGGAGGGCTTTGGGTCTGATTTTTTTTACTGTGCTCCAATTTGTATGAAATTGTAAAATTAGTTTATCTTACTCTCAAATTCAAAAGTGAAAATAATTTAGACTCATTTGACATTTCCCCGGGGGATGACATGCCTCTTAGAGGTGTAATTTATTTTTTTCAAAAAACGTCGGATATCGATAAAAGAACTAATTATAAGAAAAAAATGTTTTATAATGTTTTTCAAAAAAGCAAATACTCATCATTTTATTTAAAGCAGTTGTACATTTAAGATCCATATGGGTTGATAAAAACATAATAATTTTTAACTAATTGGTAAATATCATTAAAAAAAATTTGAACTTTTGAATTGTAAACTTAAGTACAGGACAACGCCTGCCGGGTCATCTAGTATACAATAAAAAATTCTTATATTATAACATTTTGTTAATTTTGAAAACATTTGTAAAATTTAAATTTTAAAATAAAATTAAAAAATTCTTTCTTCTTTTGAAAATACTTATAATTTTTGAAAACTATTTTTTTTCAACTTGGATTTTTTTGAAATTTCTTGAAGGCATTTGAGTCCCATTCATTTCGGTTGATCCAGGCTGTCAAAAATATTTGATTTTTGACCGCTAACTGGAATATTTCTATACTAATTTTTTGGACCTCCGAAAAAATTGTATTTTCTCTACTATACAGTTTTTCTTTTCGAGTGACTTTCTTCATTCTCTCTCTCCAATCTTGCTTCTAACTTTTAATGCTATTTAACTCCTATATTCATTTACTTCTTCATTCTTATTTTTAACTACTCATGTTTTAATATTTTTCATAATATATATATATATATATATATATATATATATAGATATATATATATATATATATATATATATATATATATGTATATATATATATATTTCTCCTAATTCAATTCAACTATTTTAATTCTGCAATTTTTAATTCAACAATGCAAATTTTTATGCCGATGCTAGGACTCGAACCCAGTGCTACTGACTGAGCTATGTCCGCCACTATTTATACTTTATAAATTATATGAATATTTTTGTATTATTTCAAAAGCAAATAGATATTTTTTTAATAATTCTAAGCGAACACGTCCAAAAGTATACAAAATAATTCGTATTTAGAAAAGTCTCAAATACTTATAAATATCAAATCCGGCTTTGGACCTGTGAGTGACATGTGTCTAGTGGGGTCAATAAGCTACGCGATTGATACGACGAAACCCTAGATTTCGTGTGACAGATTGTAAATGGGTTTTATGTGATATATAAAGTAGGCCAGATAGCATATGCATACGTCTTATTATGACCTCATAACACTTTTTAGGGGCAGATGTCGATGCTGATATTATCAGTATATAAAATCATAACTCATAGAGCAAATGTTTTACGCATACCTCACAAAAATGAACGGGGGAATGAGATTTGTGGGATAATTTATATGGTAATATGTATTTCTTAAGCATGAAAAAACTTTTCTTCTACAAGTTACAAAGTAATAACTGTTTATAATTATTATTCTCATAATTATATTAAAGGACATATGATCAACAGAGAATATTTTATGCAATTTCTTTTAAACCAACTTTATTTAATAGTAGGATATACTGTGTACGGTTGTGCACCTTTTTTTCTGATCAGTAGTAATTTTGTTAATTTACTAGTGAGCTGGGTGAAAAGTAAATTAAATGGTAAATTGAACATTTGTTTTCCGTCCACACTCCCAAGAACGGCTGTGACCGATAAAAACAGATTAATTAACAATATATATAAAAACCAAAATAACTTTTATTGACAGAAACGATTTTATTGACAGAAATATGTAACGCAATACAAGATAATCCTTTAACCAAATCTTATGAATATCATAAAACAATTTTATAAAAACATATTTTTTTAAATAAAGTTAAAAAGAATTCTTTGTAAAACCTTGTTTTTTCTTATGCTAGTTAATTGCTTTTATCTATTTAATCTTTACCCGAGAAGGTCAAGAATACATTTCACAATCGTATTCACAAAATTTGTCACAACCGTACCCAACACACACTTTTGGAGACAAATCTTAGTTGTGTACGAGCTAAATTATCTATGCTAAAGCTAAATGCTGGTAATTAACTGCTAATGTTCAACTTATAGCAAAATAACAAACTTTGGACTTATGTTAATACATATAGGCGACTGAAAGCAATAATGAAAACTTGTTCGAACAAACATACTTAATCTTTCTCTCATGGATCATTTCTCAAAATCAGTATAGTTTAGCTGTTGTGATGACTGTCACTACAGTACCCTGCACAACCGTACCCAGTCACCCCTATTCCAAGTTAAAATGGTGATTCTAATAATCTAAATCTAATAAATAAATTTATAAACTAATTAAAATAATCTCGATCGAGTAAATTACATAAATAATAAAAATGTACCCGGAACGCATAAAATATATTTCATTTTATAATTTGTGTTCACTGAATTGGAACATAATAATTTAAAATGTAGCTAGTATAATATTTTAATTATTCATTAAATACTTTATATTTAAATTGCATATTCTTTACTATGAGAGCAATGTTACAATTATTCAAAGGTATTTCGCCTTTGAATGATTACTCAAACGTTTTCATAATATTGCCCGGAGCTAAATGTGTTAAATGTCTAATTGGAATATTTTATTTAATTGAAAGCTTTTGATCTTTTTTATTATTTTACGACCTCTATAATTCATTTCTTTAAACTAGAACGAATTTTATTATAATTATTAAAAAATTCAGATAAAATCGAAATATTTATAAATGTAGTAGAAAAGTTTATTTAACAGAACGTAAAACTGAACATTATCACATTATTTAATGTTTTTGTGAAGCATTAGTGCTACCAAATTTGAAAAAAAAAACTGATAAAAACGCTTGGTTTCTTCATTTTAATTGTATTTGTTTATTATTGTGATAATGATCTTAATTAAAGACAAAGTTTGAAACAATATTACCTGAACGTGTTCGATCAAATATTCTTCTTATTAAATATTTGCATCTTACCCGTAGATCCTTTAATGTAAGATAGTTTTTTGTATTACAAACATAGACGAATTTCTATATTAACTAAAATATTCAATGAAATTCTTATTAAGGATTTTTATCAAATCCATAATGGAAATATCTATAGTTCTGATTATTTAGCTTGGAATTCTCATCTAAAATTATTACTGACATGTGTAATCGACTAAAGCATCACTTATCTTCCATGAGCTACTTACTGTTAGCACGTCAGCAACCCTTATATATATATATATATATATATATATATATATATATTATGTAGCTGTGTAAGCTTATGTGAAATCAAAAGCAAATCACGTTGGACTCTATATATTTGTCAAGAATCACTATAAATTTTACCAGGAATCAATATTATTGTTTGATATTAAATTGTAGTATTTAATTTAATTAAAACAATTTATAATGATTCCATAAAGTTTTAAGGTACTTCATGAAGTGCATCTTTTTTTTGAATAGCAAAGAATTGAAATGATTTTACATAAACGTTATATTTCTTCGTGGGTTATATAATATTCACGTAAGAATATAAGAAAACGATGTCGTGCTATATTTGGATCTCATAATATACACAATATAATCAAATTATCTGAAGACATTAATGTCTCTGACATATTTTTTTTTGTTTAAAGCAACAACTGCAAAATGCTTTGTTACTACTTTAAAATCACAACCAAATTCTGCAAAATTGATGAAAATTAATGTAGTTATTCAAATAGCTACACATTTAGTTATGCACAATTTATTATGAAAAAAATATTATTTTTTAATGCATTCTGTTGTATTAAGACAGATTATTACATTATTTGTCATCTAAGGCTTGTAGAATTATAGTTTATTATTATTCTGTCCAAGATTAATAAATTTTTATTATGCAAATGTCGGCGCATACTTTATTAAAATTGGAGATGAGAATTTATGTGGGTTTAAGTTGAAATTCAATTTTTCGCAATTATGACTTTTTAATATATTGACTTCTTTAATATTGCTTTATTAAAGAGAATATTGATTTAAAACCGACTTTGTACAGCGACCGTGAACAGTTTTTTAAATTAAAGGGGTTTTCTAGCTTAGAAATTTTATGAAATCGAGTTTTGTTTTTTGATATTTTCAAAGTTTAGCTATTCAAGGATATGTGTGCAATATGATTTTATAAGATTTAAATAATTTTTGGAGATATAGCTGTTAGACCACTATAATCCTCTTGTGTTTTCTTCCTCCGCGAAGAACTGTCGATGCAATGTAGACTTTTTCCTGTAGATAGCCACCATTTTTTTCACTTCTGCTCGATTTACTTGAAATTTTGACAGACTCTTTTTATATTGACGTCTCATCACTATGAACTAAGCTCATCCCCAAATTCTTAACTTTTTTAAAAAAACTTCAGAAAAATAAAAAAAAGTTGTAATTTTTTTTCAGACAGTAGCTATTTCCTAAAAAAATGTTCAACTTGCCCGTAGTTCATACGAATGCCATATTAATTCTATATTAATAATATTTCTAATCTAAATGAGGTATATGGTCTAGTGCCCACTTATCATCTGCTAGAAATAAAACTTTTCTACTGTTTAAATTCTCATTTTTTTGTATTATTAAAACAATGATTAATAATGTATAAAAAAGATAGTAAATATATTGCTTACCTTTTTACAGCATTTTAAAAATTATATAAAATTCATGCCTTTACACTAAATAACCCCCTTATTATGACTACTTTAAAATATTATGATATACCTTTGTTTAGTCAGTTGTGACATGTTGTACTGAACCATAAAAATTAAAGTGGTACTATTTAATTTAATTCCAGAAATACGAAGTAGAATTTCTCCTGCAGCAGCAATGGTTCGATCCGCGGTTGCGATACTCGAACCAAAGTCAATACGAGTACCTGAACGCGATTCACCACCACGAAGACATTTGGCTGCCGGACACCTATTTCATCATGCACGGAGACTTCAAAGATCCTATCATACCCATGCACTTCGCGCTACGCATCTACAGGAACGGGACCATCAATTACCTCATGAGGTAATGGACGTCTGTGTCATTAGCAAATTAATCAATATATATATATATATATATATATATATATATATATATATATATATATATTGATTATCGTATATATATATCGTATATATATACTTTAATTTGATGTTGATATTATATATTTTGAACAATAAAAATAGTATAAAATACATACGTTTCA